ACTTCCTTTCCCTTAGTAGATTCGGCTTGCTCCGGCCGAATCAACACCTTCTTATTATTGAAATTAATTGTATTTACTGGAAAAGGATCATGATCAAGCTTCATCTTGGAGCCATCGGTGAATTTCAATCGTCCTTCATCTATGGCCGATTGAACCTGTCGTTGAAACACATTGCAATCATTAGTAGAGTGAGAATGAGAATCATGCCACTTACAATATGCCCGACGTTTTAACTCTTCTTGTGATGGTATGACATGGCCTTTAGGTAATCTAATTTGTTTCTCTTGTAAAAGATAATCAAAAATCTTATCACACTTGGCCACATCAAAACTATACTTAACTTCACTTTGCCGATCTTTACGAGGAGTCGGCATTAAATTAGAACAAACAAAAGGTTTATTTTTGTTGGTCCATGACCATTCGGCAACATAAATATCATGATCACCCTCCTCTTCACTATCACTAGCATCAGAGTAATCAACTACATTAACATTAGGCTTTTTGTTGAATGGTCTAGCAAATTTTTTATTATCCTTAACCCGGCATTCCTGAGCCAGAGCCCTTTGCATAAGTTGACTAACATCAAGAAATTATTGGCCATCTAGTTTCTCTCTAAGAGGAGCAACAAAACCATTAAAAGCAAGCCCGGCCAAATCTCTATCAGTTATATTCAAAGTATAACATCGGTTTCTAACATCTCTAAATCTCTTAATATAATCAACAACAGATTTATTATATTTTTGTCGCGTCCCAAAACGACTCTAAAATACATCCTCTAAATTATGCCTAGAATAATTAAAATCCGTGTGAAAGCCTCCAACAATTAAAATGTGCAAAGTTAAAAGTCAAATAAGGCTTGGAGGATTTTTGTATATTTCCTAAAAGCCTAAAATGCGTAAATAAATTTTACTGGAATTTTCAGAGCACAAATAATAATTATTAAGAAATAAACAAAGTTAAAATGATTTTATAAAAAGAAAAACCCTAAAAAGTCCCCTTTCCCTCCCCCTCTCCCTCTTGGGCCGGTTCGGCCCAGCTCCCTCCCTCTCCCTCCTCCTCCCCGCGGCCCATCCGGCCTCTCCCTGCGCGCGCGCCGCTGACGGGCGGGCCCGCCCACCAACCTCGCTGACGGGTGGGGCCCACCCGTCATCCCCTTCCTCCTGCCGCTCCCGCCGCCTCGCCCGCGCCCTAGCGCCGCCGCCGCCGCGAATCCCGCCGCCTCCCGCCGTCCCCGCGCGCAATAAAGTGGGGGGAATTATTCCCCGGGATCCCATCCCCCTTTCCCCCCATTTTTCCCTCCCTCTCTCCCTCGGATTCATTTGGAAACCTCTCCCCTAACCTCGCCGGCGCCATTAATGGCGGCCAGGTCTCCCGCGCCCATTTCCCCCTCCTCCGGCCGCCCTCTCTCACTCCCAACCCTATATAAACCCTCCCCGAGCTCCCCACCGCCGTTTCCGCCACTCACCGCCCTCTTCCCCCGCCGGAATCGAGCTCGCGCCGTCGCTCTCTCTCTCCGCCGTCGCCGCCGAGCTCCGGTCCACCGCCGTCGTCGCCCCGGACCACCTCCCACCTCGGCGCCGCCTCCTTCGGCTTCGCCGCATCCTCACCGACCTCGTCCACCTCTCCGTTTCGGTCGCCGACCGCCGGAGCACCGTCGACCCCGTCCACCCGAGCCGCGCCGCCGCCTTCCTCCGCTCCGGTCGCCGTTTCCATCGTCACCGTCGACCCGGGGTGAGCCGTGGACCGCCGCTTCGTTTCCCCCTTTCCCTCCCTTCCCTCGGCCGCCGCTCCGCCGTGCCTATGGCCGCCGCCGGCGACCATAGGGGCGCGGGCGCGCCACCTCCCGCCGGCCGCACCGCCGAGGCCGTCTTCAGGCACGCCTAGCGGCTGCCGCGTGGGGCCCGGCCGTCAGCCGCCCGCGCCCTCGGGTGCGGCTGACGCGTGGGGCCCACGGCGCCGGCCGGTGTGAGCCGGGTGCACCCGGTCCACCGTGGGCCGTGAGACTGCCGCGTGGGTCCCACTCCCGTGGACCCGGTCCGCGCGCCCCCTCCCCCGGCTGACGCAATAAATCCATTTTTAAATTAAAATTTAAATGAAGAAATTCGCAAATATCCATTTAAAGAGCATATAAACTTCAAATGGCCATAACTTGGCCATTTGAACTCGGAATTGGACCGTTCAAGTCTCTAATTTTTCCTTAAGAAGTCAAGAACCCATTTTTGTGCTTTGTTCCTGCTTGTTATATGGAGTTTATTAGAGTAAAAGCCTTTTCTTTTCCGTTGGTCGTGTAGACGCTGCAGCTTCGGAAGATCCGCTCTTCGTGGAAGTTGAAGCCGACGTTTGGGAAAGCGAGCAAGGCAAGTCACATCATCCTTGAGCATATTGAATCCCAGTTTATAAAGTTATTTTGATTTAAATTATTGCATTGTCGCTTTACTTAAATTCCCGCATTATCACTGTTTTATTTAGCCATGCCTACTTACCTTTGTTATGACCTTATTATTGCTATTGTTATTATTTCCTTGTTCACCCTAGAATAAACAAAACCCCAACTAGTGGACACTCTACTCATGGTACCACTAGTATGATTTTAGGTAGATGCTTCGCTAATTAATTAGGCAACATTAGGTGGTTTTACAACTCTAGACTTTGGGAATATTCATATCACCTGGACACTATGGAATGGTTGGATTATTGTGGAATTGGATTCACACCTCCCACTCTATTCAAAATCCTCAAAATGGTTTTAGGCTGGGCTCGGGGTGCATGGTTTTGATAGTAGCACCTCGGCCATATAAGGACCGGTCTTCGGGCCTCTGTTGCAAAGCACTACCGTACTTCCACATGTCTAGTGGGTAAGGCTTAGTTTGTGGCTCAGTCTGGTTATAAACAAAAGTACACGGATGGAGATGGACGAAGTCGGCGGTCGATGGACATCTCTAGGACAAATGAAGGCTACACGAGCTGCGGCCCGGTAGTCGAGATGTCATGGCACAGTACCGGTGTCCTGCTGCTAGGGGCTCAGTCCTGCCTACCTGTCCCGGGGGTTCCGGCCGTAGGTGGGGTTGGGTCGGTACTCTTGTCTATGGCTAGGATGGGTTGGAAACTATGTCATGTCTTCCGTCCATATGCCGTGGTGGTATGTGGCACGTGGTTACACGTGAGGAAGACGTGTCTTATGGGTAAAGATGTACACCTCTGATCAGAGTAAAACCTATTCGAATAGCCGCGCCCTCGGTTAGGGGCAAGCCGAGCAATGTACCCAAGTTAGCGTTTTAATTCTTAAAAACCTGCTTAACAACTAAAATGTGGAATGGTTGGCCTGGGTTGGCTTGGGACGAGCTGGGACCCAGGGTCGGGTTGCCAGTTCGGTCTGAATCATCGTAGGCCTTGGGTTAAGGCAGGTTCGTGTGGGTTCACGGCCTTGATTAATAATATTGTATAGCTCTAGGATCATGTTTACAAAATAACTTTGAGCAACTAAGTGTCTTTTAATGCTGTTTACTGCAAATCCTAACCCCCTATATTATGGCTTCCTTGTACCCCCTTGCATTTATTCTGCACTTGTGGGTGTGTCTTGTTGAGTACAGTGGTTGTACTCAGTCTTGCTCAATTTTTCCCAAACCCAGAAGAGGAGGCCCTGGAAGATGAAGGCTTTGGTGTCTAGCTCGTGCCTGTCGTCAAGCGCCTGTGGTCGTCGCCCTAGTCTTCCGTTGTTTCCCGTTTGTCTTTGTGTGTGCTGGGCCTTCGCCGCCCATGTAATAAATTAACTATTTACGCTTCCGCTTGATAAACTCTGAAATGTATCAACTTTTGGTGTACCTTGCCTCCTGGGACAAGGAATAATACACGCACGTAAGGAACGCCCATTGGGTTAATTCCGGTCGTGACAATTTTTGCTTAACCGATGTTAAATCACATAACCTAAGCTCAGTTTCTCCAGTATAGAAATAATCATGAAATTGTTCCTCTAATTGAGCCCAAGTATGAATTGAATTTGCCGGTAAAGAAGTAAACCATATAAAAGCATTACCGGATAAAGATAAAGAAAACAAGCGCAATTTAAAAGTATCACTATTAGCCTCACCACATTGCGCTAAAAATTGACCTATATGCTCCCATGTGGTCTTACCATCCTCACCACTAAATTTTGTAAATTCGGGAACTCTATAATTTCTAGGGAACGACACATTATCATAATAATCCGGATATGGTTTTTTGTAAGGCCTATCACGATTCCTAGTTTCGATCCCGAATTTAGTCCTCATAATATCACTAATCATGTTCTCCATGTTATTAGGTCCTTGTGGATTTGGTGGTGGGTTTGGTGGCCTAATAGGTTTGGTTTGTGGCGCAATATGATTATATTGGCCTTGACTAGTATCGGGAGGATATCCTCTAGAAACATCATTGTAGGCATTAGGGATATGTGGGGGAATTTGAGGACTAGTGGTGGCAGTAGATACAGGGGGATCAAATGTTCTAAAGTGGTACGAATAACTAGCATTAGTCATTGGATCAATTCCCTGTATCGGCACAATTGCGCCGGTCTGACCGGCCCAGGGCCCGGTCTGACCGGCGTCATGTTGCATGGTCGGACCAGCCTGAGGGCCGGTCTGACCGGTGGGATAATACCCGGTCGGACCGGCCATCTGGCCGGTCGGACCGACGGCATAATACCCGGTCTGACCGGCCGTCTGGCCGGTCTGACCGACGGCTGTGTCGCGGTCTGACCGGCCGTCAGGCCCGATCGAACCGGTCACGAACGCCGCTCCGTTGGTTTTGGACCCTATTGGATCTATAGGAGGTTGATCAGCAGTGGTATAGGCTTTATCTTTTAATGTGTAATCATCCATAAAAGAGCCTAGCCTACTCCTTAAAAACCCATCAACTTTTTCCTTAAACATCACATCTAATCTATCTTTAAAATTAGCCATAGATGAATCTATTGTATTTGCAATTTGTTGGTCGATAGATTGTGATACCTCGTCATTACTTACCACGTCGGGAGCGAGCTTAGGACGTGGCCCGGGCTTGATGATCACGCCTTGACGAGTCCTAGTAGTCAACCTCATCAACGCCTCCCGTGTGAGCTCGGTGATGTATTCCTGGACATCTTTGCGATCCTCTCCTTCAAAGTCATCTAATGTGACCGGTATCACATGAGATGGCTCCACCTCCGTCTTAGATGATGGCTTCGTCATGGCGAAGTCGAAGTTGAGTTGACGATGAACGGATCTCTTCCCCATTGGAGTCGCCAAAAATCGTGTTGGCAACTTTTTTGACAAGTTGACAAGCACGATCGTAGCACCTTAAGCCTTGCGGTGATTCTAAAGTCGCCAACCACCTCGATCTAGCAAAGAGCTAAACCTAGATGGGTTTTGATAACTAAACCGGCTAGCGGAGCCGATTTCTAGATAACTACCCGTCTCGTGGGCAAACGGAAGGTTTTCAAGACAAACCTACAAAGAGATGTCGCACTCTCGCAGCGGTAGCGGACGGTTTACGGCGCAAACCGACAAAGATGGACAAACTAAGAGAAAACTAAAAGCAATATAAAAAGAATGATTCGATTGATTGATAGTAGATTGATTTTAACAATGAACCAGCCTTGTCCCTTATATAGGGGTTGGTCTTGCCCTCTACAGGCCCTTCTCCATGTCCAACTCGGGGTAAAAACCAAAGGAAACCCGAAACATGCCTTCCAAAGCAAGGAAACCTCGAAACCCGACGCAACAGAATCGGACTCGGGCCTGTCGGTCAGACCGGCCACATACCGCCGGTCTGACCGGCCTTCAACCGGCGGTCTGACCGCCCAACACACGGCGGTCAGACCGGCCTACCTCGAAGGAAACCGGTAGACTTCCAAATTTTGGCAATATTTCCTATTTTAAGCCTAGGTGCCAAATTTGGGTGTAAACAAATACTTCCGTACGTCGGTTGGCAAAACCATCCGGGCATAAAACTAGGTGCCACTGCCAGGTTCCCAAACTTGTACCATACAATCAAATCAATTCTTGACATTGTTATACTCACTGGCTCACTGGTAGAGAGAATCTTTACCACCGGTTAAAAACCCCTTTATTTTTTTTATTTTTGGTTGTTGCAGCCGAAACTAATAAATCGTGACTAAACATCTCGATCTAAAATACATACTAAATCAAAAAAAATATATGGGATATGGATTTTGAACTCAATATCTCTCACCTTAGCCCTCATACGTCCTATCTACTACACACATCTAATTTAGATGGAGATGCTTTCTTTCTAGCTAAAGAGGTATATTTAGTAACTGTTGGTGTTCCAACAGTACTAAAAATATCTTTAGTACAGATTAGTGTTACCAAACAGTACTAAAGATGCATTTTAAAGATGCATTTTAGTATAGTTAGTAACACACACCACAACCAAAGATGTTTGTAGGAACTTGACTTTTATAACCGATATTAAAGTATCTCTAACTGATATATTTGTGTTTTGGGCCCTACGGTAAAATATATCGTTTCTTTGGTAGTGACCCAGCTCTTGGGGATGAAATACCCAAAAGGTTCACGAAAAGCATCCATTTAATTACCTCTTTGCTAATCAGAATGCTTAGCAAATCATTTTATTAAAATGTTTGCTACAAAGCGGTGATGGTTTTTTTCCGGGGATGTTTTTTTTTCCTGTCAACCAAAAAGTACTTATGAAAAAATTGAAAATATAAATTATATGCGTGGGTGATATATCACTTTACAAATGCACGTCTTTTCCTTAAAATCACACTAGATTAAATCAAACATATTACAAGCAAATGAAGAAGAAAATTTTAACTGTAAATAGTACAAGTATTAGCAAGAGTAATTTATTTTTTTCTTCGATCTATGGATCAAATTTAACTTGCATGTTTGTATAGTAATATATCTATATTAATGAGAAAATTAACACCATTTCACTCTTCTAAATTATTTCATTGAAGTACTTAGCCCATAAACTAGTTTTTAGCTCATTCTACACCCTAAACTATTGAAAATGTTTTACATACTTTACACACAGATGCTATTTCTTTTTTTTCTTTCTATATAAGTCATAATTTACACTCAACTTTTGGTAGGACGATAGATGCATTACAAAGTACCTCTCGACTTATTTTTAGAATTATTCTCACTATTTACATAGGTTGGAGGCAGATGTTAAATTCTGGATTGAAATTTTAGTTCTGTGTTGGCCCACCTGGCAGAATATTCTTTCCAGCATTTTTTTTCAGGTCAGAAGAAAACAATGTTTAAATTCTTAAAATTTATGTCCGAGACTGGAGTTCTGTTTCCGCCATTACGCGTAATATTAAGGCCCTCTTTGGCACAACTCTGAATCCAAAATTTCTCGGAGCTGGATATTCCTAGGTTCACAAATTCATGGATCTAGATCTATGATTACATTGATAACATTTAGATAAAGTTTTTGTGCATATTGCAGATGAAACTTAAATTTTTAAAGCAACTGTAATTGAATGTATAAACTTCAAGTCTATTATGGGTCTAAAATCTGGAGTAGTCCCAACAGGACCTAAATCCCTGTGAAATTAATATGCTGTAATTTGAAATGTTGTAAGCTAAAACATGAACTCAAGAACACTCATTCCATATGATTTTGAGAAGAGAGATTTCTTCAAGGAAATTAGTTAACTACTAATTAACTAGATTCACTTGGAGATTGTGGAATAGGAGAGTTTTAGGAAATACAGCTGTGTCAGAAGCAACTGGGATCCCACATATTCCCGCATATGATAGTGATCCTCATGTGGTGATATAATATATAGTTGTACAAACAATTGATATTTATAGATCAGTGCGTTACTTTTAGTCCCTTTAGTTTGTTTCTATTAGGTGGCTAGCAAAAGCACAGTGCATACCTATTACTAGCTTAGAATAGCGCAAATGATTTAAAATGTTGATCATCATGCTAGCATGCACTCCAGCATATTAGCCTTTTGGTGAATGAAATTGTAGAAGCGCATGCAATAACATAACGATCGGCAGTATATTTGCCGGAAATGTTAAAACCGAAACCTAGCTATTGTGCGTTTTCCACCCAAAACGCGCATCCATGGCACACCATCGGCTAGAACCGGTACCTTTGTTGAGAGATAGGGTCCGCTTTAAATAAAAACCGTTACCTATAATATGTTTTAGGTCCTGGTTTTTCAAGAACCGATAACTATATTTATATTGTAGGTTTGTTTTTATAAAAAAAATGGCACTTGTTAAGAAAACCGACAGACTGAGTAGAATAAGCCGAATCACGACTTGTTTCCACCTATATCTCTCCCTTTTGATCGCCCCTCACTCACTCTTTTTATTACCCCCCTCTCTCCCCCTTATCCTCTCCGCCTCCTCCCTATCCCTCTCTCTCCACCGCACCACCCGGCGGTAGCGCCCTCCCCTCCCCTCTCATTGCTTGTGTTGTTGATGTTCTTGTGTTATTAGTGTTCTTGCATTTTCTTGGATTAAATGTAATTAAAAGTGTAATCAGATCTGGTTGGGGTGAAGGGGACTTATTCGATGCATGCATCGAGCCGGTCTCTTTTTTTTTTCATTCCTAGGACCTTAAACCGGCACATTTGAGAGAACTCAAAAAGGTTCCTGTTGCCAAATTCGGCACCCATATGTGGTTGGCAACCGACACATATCCTTTTCTGTAGTAGTGCCTATAAATCCTTGATGGGGTACCAGCATTGTTAATTAAACACACAATTATTCAAGTGGTGTACATCTTGTTTACTGCTGTCCAAGCACTGGTAGCTTGAAACTGATATCCAAGCTTGATAAGGGTACCATTCAGACGTATAGTTCACGAGTGACGATTAACCAGGAAATCAATCTAACGCCATAAAATTCAGACTCGAAGGGGTAGGTAAGTCTCGTACGCGTGGGTTTACGTAATTAGTTCATTTAGCTTTGAGTACTCTGCATCTCTTGATTGGGTAGGAAAGTCTTGATTGTTTAGGTTAATCTCTAGAGGGCTGCTACAAAACGGGATCCCATTGTAATGGAATAGACATATTAACTATTCTCTTGCACGAGTATCACAGGTATCAGGTCCTATATATCACAAAGGATTCCTTGTGGCTCCCGCAGCTATTGTGACTAATTTTCCCTAAACTCAAGAGGCATCTTTAACCTGGGAGAAGGCCAATATAATGTTATGTTTGGCATATCACTCATAAATATTAAGATTATCATCCCTGTTAGTGTCAGGGGAGAATTTTGAGAAGTTTGTCAAGACTAATGCTTAGTACAAATTTAGTGCCTATGCACATTTGCCGCCATAATTTAAAAGGTAGCACAAAAAAATTGCGTGGCGTGCAAACATAGTGGGATGGACATCACACATTTCATATGCGCCACTTGTCCATTTCATATGATTCTTCTCCCATTAGGCTACGGTCATTTTCAGAGTTGTAATACTAAGACAAAGTGGACCATAATTGACTTGGTTCATCATTCCACAAATCAATAAGAAATATAGAAGACTAAGAGGCAAACTATGTAAGATCCTATTAATCTTGTCATTTGATGGAAAAGATGAAGCTTTACTAAGGGGTTGTAGCAACTCCAAATTTAATAATAATAAAGCTCACTTTCCTCTCAAGGGGAAATAAAATTGCCTCTATGTCCTATGTATGCTACTCTTGAAATTTTCTTCTGTAAGTTCTTTGCAAGCAATAGGGACATGCTTAATGTCCTGATTTAAGAAAGTAGTTAAATAAGAAGATTAATGGCATTATTTTGGGTTGAATCATTATGAGACATTGTCGAAATTATGGCATTATTTTTCGGCCACATTTCTAGGGGAGAATATACGTCTCATTAAGGTCGAGACACTTCACCCTTAGAAATTTCTGACATCTATTATTACTTAGATAAAGCTAAAGTAAATCAAGTGATTCAAGTTCATAAGGTATTATGCTTCCATTACATAAATAATAAAATAAGTGGGAGCTCATCAAGAGCTCTAATAAGAGAAGATTATTCTACCTCATTTATGACTCATAGCTCCATTATGTGGATGTTATAATTTTGTGACTTGCACAATTAAATATACATAACATAGCTTGAGGGTTTTGTTATGGAAAGACAAGTCACATATGGGGTGCATACTTAAGAAATCCATTTGTGGACTTAATCAAGCATTGATGATGTTTTAAATTCTGCTGCATCATTAGTGAACTAAGCTTAAATAAGAATGAGGACAATAATTATTCTATAAT